ACATTTTTGGAACAGAAACAAGAAATTATGTCATAATTGGAAAGGGAAAATATCAAGTGAATCGAGATAAATGAACAAACAATGGGAATTCATGGAAAATGGAAACGATACAAATTATGAATATGAGAGATGTTATTACATGCACGAATACAAAGAATCAAACATATCCTATCATAGATTGTTGGCTTATACAAATGATAACATGGTAAATCAAAGTCACTCGATCGTCCAAGACATATTTTCCTTCTATCGGGCTTAAATCAAGAACTTAGTGAATGATGGCTAAAGCGCCAGTGCAGCTACCTTATCCAAGCTAAAAATTGCCATGTTCTGTTTGTTGCTTCTTATTCCAAAGATCTAAGTTATTAAGAATATAGTATACTAACTTTAAAAGATATAACTGTTTTGAGATTGCAGATATCACACTTTTTTTGTGGCATAGTGGTATCTGAAGCTTTATAAAGACGCTTATTACTGGTACATCATGCATTTGAAATCTAAAAATAATATACTGCACACAAAAAACTCAAATGCCTCCACAGTTCATTGCACTTTATACTAAAGAACTTTTTGTTAACATGGCTATCCTCGTGACTCAACAGGTCACGGCACAGCGCGGATACATCTGGAACACATCAAAGTCACCACTTGGTGATCCGTACGGCAGCAAAATCTAGCATATCTGTGAGCTTCCGTATCGGATATATATATATATATATATATTTGTCATCAATCACTCTCTTTTGAATTCGTGCGCTTATGCAGCCGAATGGCAATCCATCATTTGCATGTTCGTATCCTTATTTGTCTCAATTGGTACATATACACAGATGCGGAAACGACAGGCTGTTTGTTCACAGCTATTCCATTGCTACTATCTTGGTTTATCAAACTTTGTTTCATTGCTAGTAAAGGAGTAGTCTTTGCCCATAATCAGCAACATTTACATCAGTGAGAGACGGATGGACTTTGCGACGTTTCCGTACTTAAAACCCATGGGAGATTGCATGTTGAAGGTCTTTTGTGCGACTTGCAATCAGCTCGTCAGCGGAAAAGGCGAGAGGATCACGTATAACTCGCTGAACGTTCAGTAATGGAACGTGTTCTTAGGATGAGCAATAAAGATTCACGGCGGAGGCGTTAAAGTTACTATAGCGAGCTTGATCGACCTGTCAACAAGACGTTCCGAAAACGTTTATCAAACGTTCTGGAGGCTACCAGAAATGAGATTGGCTCAATTATCTGTAGAATTATTGGCCTGATGGATGTCGCTTTCTAAATCTCCAAGAACGGACCATTGTTTTTTCAAGGAAAACTATACTTACGGTTTGAAGAGAGTCGTCAGTTCAGAAGCAGCGGTTTTGAAATCTGTGTTAACTGAAGACGGCTTTGACCTACACAAACAATCGCGAGATACAATCATCGATAACAGGAACGAAGCATGAGATTGGTTTGCCCAGTACCTCAACGATTGCGCTAGGAAGGCTGTGAGTTCAATAAATTGGACAACTGTGCCCCAATGTGGACGAACGAGCAACAGGCACTTGCGAAGCAATGCAAGGCCCGTCAAAGGGATAGCCCAGGAAGAAAGTGTTATCTGTGTCAACAACGATTGTTGACGCCAAAAAGCCAGAAGAAGGAAAGGCAACGCCCAGCGGAATTTCGCTAACTTCAAGAACAAGATGAATCCACTTCACCGCCCCACGGAACTGCTGCGTCTAGAAGTCAGTGGAGCAGGCCTTGATCGACTTTGTCTTGAATCAACATTCGAGACAGACCGTCACCTGATATGATCTGAACGCTGGTTCTTTTCAGGACGCTGGCAAAGCTTTCCGCGCGATAACAGAAGTCAACAACAATATTCAAAGGTGCATCTGGAAGAACCGAGCAGCGTTACGCATGAGCCAGTGCTGGGTAATAGCACACGAGAGTAGGTAAGACAAGGCGAAAAAACATCATGAATTCATAGTGAACCATGGTTGACTTTGGGAACTCTGCTTGTTCGACATAAATAGTGTCATCATCCTCTGGGTGGACTGCTCTATAGACATCACAAATCTGGGCCTTTTGAGGAGAAATAGTTCCATCTTTCACCCTTTGTGCAGATGTGATCAAGTGATAAGCCATTGCATTTCAACCGGCATACAGTAAGTTTCGACCCGCTTCAGGCGGAAATTGGATTGGCGGGCTCTAGCG